AAAAAAAAAAAAGAGAAGGTAAAGTTCTTTTCTGCATAACTAAGGACACAACAATCAAAGAAAATAGATAGCCTTCAGAATGGGAAAGGATATTTACATTTTACAAATCTGACAAAGGCTTGATAACTAGGATGTATATAGAACTCAAACTAATCAACAAAAAAGAGCTAAAACTCCCATCTATCACTGGGCAAGAGATATGAACAGAACCTTCTCCAAGGAAGACAGATACACGGTTAAGATGGTTAAGAAACATGAAAAGGCGCTCATCGCCCTTAATCATCAGAGAAATACAAATCAAAACCACCCTGAGATATCACTTAATCCCAGAAGATTAGCCCACATCACAAAATTCCAAAGTTACAGATGATGGTGCTGACATGGAGAGAGTAAACACTTAACTGTTGGTGGATGGATTCAAACTAATATAGCCTCTTTGGCAGGAAGTATGGAAAATCCTCCAAGAACTCAAATTGGATCTCCCATTTGACCCCAGAATCCCACTACTAGGCACCTACCTAGAAGAAAGAAAATCATTTTATCATAAGGACATACTAGACTGTTTACTGCAGCTCAATTTACAATCGCCAAGACATGGAAACAACCTAAATGCCCATCAACTCAGGAACGAATGAACAAACTTCTGTATATGTACACGTATACCATGGAATACTATTCAGCCATAAAAAGATGGTGAGGTCACATCTCGTGAGTTAACCTGGATGGAGGTGAAATACCTTCTTCTCAGTAAAGTATCACAAGAATAGAAAAGCAAATATCCAACGTACCCAATACTAACATGAAGCCAGTAGATGATCTAAAGCATGCCCAAAGGAAAAAACTCATTTCAGCTTAAGCTGGGAGGAGGTGAAATGAAGGAGAGGGGAGAGGGGTGGAGGGTTTGGTGTGCTCCCACTGAATGGCACATTGTAGGGGTATGTGGCATTACGTCCTGTAGCTTTTGGGTACAGGATGTAACTATAAGAGGGATTCTATCTAACAAATTCAAATATTGAGATTTGGCTGTTTGTACATTAACCTGAAATTAAAAAATAAAAAAAAAAAGAAGGTAAAGTTCTAAGCTTGAATGGTAAATTCCAAAGTATTGATTTTATTATGCTTTCCTACATACACACTGTAATATTCTTTAAAATATATTGTAATGAAAATCTTACCTTTAAAACGTTTTCCTTTATACTCATATCTCATTCAGAGTTTATTAATAACAGCTAACATTTCAGAGTTTATTAATAACAGCTAACACTTACTGTGCATTCAACATGTGCCATACATTGTCCTATGTGCTTTTTGTGTGTATCATTTAATATTCACAAAATTCCTCTGAGGTAAGTGCTATTATCTTCATCTTGTGAGGAAGCTGAGGCACAGAGAGATTATTCTAACTTCCCCAAAGTTGCACAGCCAGGATTTCCTTATGAGGAAACTGAGGCATAGTGAGGTTTTTGTAACTTACCCCAAAGTCACACAGCTACTAGTTTAAACATGGAAGTACAGCCAGGATTGAAACCCACGTCATTTTCACTAGCCTATGTTCTGTTTTGTTGTTGTTGTTTTTCTTTTTGAGACAAGAGCCTCACTTTGTCACCCTTGGTAGAGTGCTGTGGCATCATAGCTCACAACAACCTCAAACTCTTGGGCTAAAGCGATTCTCTTGCCTCAGCCTCCCACTTAGCTGGGACTACAGGCGCCCCCCACAATGCCCGGCTGTTGTTAGAGGAGGGGTCTCGCCCTGGCTCAGGCAATCTACCTGCATCAGCCTCTCAGAGTGCTGGGATTACAGGCGTGAACCACCATGCCCGGCCTTCAGCCTATGTTCTTAACCACTTTCCTACACTGCCTCTATGTATTTAAGTATTTTTCACAGGGAGAAAAAAAAGAAGAGAAGTGAATGCAGAATTAGCCACATGGGGATACCTGGAACCTCCTGACAAGAGCAGTTTCAGCAGAAGAGTGAGGATGCAGGCAGTAAGCCGAGGAGAGAACGGGAGATGACATGGAAGCAGTCTTAGGACTTTCAGGAGGAGCTGAAGAGAAGAACGGAATCAAGGAAGGGTTGACTGCATTTTAGATAGAGATGGAAATGACATAGCACAGAGGGAGGACATGTTTGTTTAGCAGATTAAGAGGATAATCTCAAGTGCGAAGTCTCTAAGTAGATGACACGGTTGGGATTCCAGAATATAAGGCAAGACTCTAACACATGTGATGAAATAGAAATTAACTGTGCTTTCACGGTTAGAACATGGGTGCATTTAAACGGTACAGAGTGCCATGAAGTCTGACCACTTGACTGTGGTACTTTAGACTTCTGCTAGCCTACTGTCTGCTTTCAGTTTCCATCTTTTTTTCTTTGCTTTTATTTTTATTTCATCTTTCCTGCCATATGTTATATTGATAAAGTTTTCTGATTCTTTCTTCTACCCTAGCCTCCAATTACAGGTTTGGAATTTCTAAGATTATATTTCTACTGTTTCATTTAACATACATACTATCTTACACTCTTTCTACCCATCTATAAAGCTATTCAATATATGTATCTCCATCCTCCTATGGAACAAGAAGAAAACTTAACCACTGACAACGTCTGTCTTCCTTCCTCTTGATTGAAGGTTTAGCATTTAATACTAAAAGTTTATTTTCTTATTATCCATAGTTAATTTTATTTATTTATTTATTTATTTGGCTAGGGCTGGGTTCAAACCCACCACCTATGGCATATATGGCGCCGGCCCTACCCTTTTGAGCCACAGGCGCCACCCCTCATAGCTAATTTTAAGCAATACATTTTATCTGTTTCTTGTTCTTCATTGTTTCTTTAGTATCTAACCCCTTCTTCTGTCTGGGTTTACTCTGAGTTTTATAGAAATAAATAATTTTTTTTACTGTATGTTGGTAAGTGAAATTCATCTTTATATACACGATAATGTTCTTATTTCTACCTTCACTCAAGAATGATTATTTAGGTGAACGCAAAATTCTAGGGTAGCATTCATTTTTTTCTCTTACTCTTTCAAGGATATACTC